CCAAGGCAAATTAAAAAAGGATGAAACTTTGTTGACGGAACGTGCGTTTGATTGACCTACAGAATTATAAGCTTGGTATCTTTAATCAATTAAAAAATATATATATATTTACTCCAGAAAATTTTTTCTCTAAAGCAACGTTTGCAATAAGTTTTGAGACGTGTTTAAATTTTATTTGTTAGGTAGTAAGGTAGAGTAGCATGTCAATTTTAAGGGAATCTATTTCAATTAGAAGCGTTGTTGTATTTATTGAACTGAAAATCGAAAATGTGAAAAGGTATCTTCTCTGATTTCATGAAAGTTGATTAATACTTATTTTATCAAAACTACTAAAACACCAAAGGTTTCATATGAATGCAAGTCTAATTAAGTATAGTTAACGTTCAAGTGATACTGTACAAATGTACGGAGAATGCAAATATAGAAATAAGGATTACATTGGTAAATGTAATACGTGTTGTTTGGTAACGTACCTTTTACTAAAAGTAATGTGTAGTATGGAGTGTTCGTATCATTAGATGATATTTCAGGACAAAAAAAAAAATAATTGAGCTTTGTCTCATTTGTTTAAAATAGAATAGTTTTATTTTTCTAGAACACCTAATCAGAACACCCAACATCGTCATTGACCATCCTTAGCTCGTCGGAGGGGATGGCAACGTTAGATGTTGTCGAATTACACAGTTAGATTCACAAAAACTAACCTTTCTTTTTTTTGTTTATTTTGATTTTAACTTTTTTCTTATTTATTGGAATGTATAAAATTGATGACCCTATTGCAACCGCTGTATATTTTCCATATATTAATTGGAAACCTTTGATTACACGAATCCATGGGAATAAATGATTATATATGACCAACAAATAGTGTGTAGAATGAATCAGTTTGTAACCCGGATTTGTTTTTTCTCAATCGATTTATTACTTTTGAACAGCGGTATACTACTGTTGCATATATTTAGGACAGGTGCAAACAAATGAAGCGGGTTTAAACGTTTTACCAGGATCCAACCTTGACACATTACATCTATTAATGCATAAAGATGATTTCTAATTCATTCTTATAAATGCAATAGAAAATCGGAAGATAAATAACGTCAAGGTTTAAATTGCATCGGTACGTTACAATGGTACGGTAGGCAAATGTCATTTTAAAAACAATACTTATAATTTATGTACAGTATTATTATCTTTTGGGCTTCGGACGAATTAAATTTATAACGTTTTGTTTTCATTTTCTATCATTACTGATTGAATTTTACAAAACCAGATTGTACATTCCTTATTGTATTTAAGAACTACACAGATAATTATAAACGAATAATCATTTTGAGAAGAAAATCTGGACACATTTAAAAAGTAGGTTCTGATCATTGATTGATTTTTTCATCAGTTATTTTGAAAATAAATGTTCATTTGTGCGTTTATGTTAACATATATAAAGTATTCAATAAGAGATTAAAGCCTCATTATATTTCATATTGCAAAACATTCTTGTCATGTTTGATTTGTTAGGTCAATAACCAGAATATCATAAAGTATGATTTTTGTAGAAGATCAATATTAAAAGTAAGATTTTGTAAAGAAACTTTCATAAAGGTGAAACAATACTTTGTTTTTTCTATGAACAATTAAAGCCCGAAACAAAACCGACAGTGTGTATGACCATATAAAAATACGAAAGTGTGATAATTTTGCCAATAAGACAACTACCCTCAAGAGCACAACGGACGTGGATGTATGAAACTATATGTCACCTTATGTCCTTCAACAAAAATTAGCTAAATGTGTTATAACATTTTATAAAAATTCAGAAAATACATGTCTTTACACGTGTTTTAAAAATGATGAAAACCTGTCCAAATAACCTTTAGTTTAACGTGAATAAGAATCTGGATTTCAGTGTTAACAAAACATGTGGTTGATAGAATAGAACTGGGATGGTTTTTGAAAAAAACTAAAGATTGTAAAAATATTTTAAAAAGAAATATTTTGTGTTTTGTTGCAGACTTAATAATGGCATCAAAAGGGATCTTTTTGCACCAACAAGTCAAGATAATACCAACTAGTTTATGTATCAATAAAATTAACATAATTTAAAAGGCTTGACTAATTTTACAATCTTTTGTCTAATCATTGGCGATAATCTTATCATACCGCCGCCTTTGTACTCGACCTATATATTCCTGAAATACTTCTCATCAGGTGTAAAGCAAACAACAATCATCCATAATGTAGCTTATTTGCATATACATGTACATGTTCGATTATTCAATAAGTGATTTTAAATTGGTTTGACAATTCTTTTTCCTCAGAAGTACATTTTTATTTTGTAATTTTTTTTTTTCACAGGAGGCTGACTATTTTCAAATTGTCGTCCAAAATACATTTTCATGGCGTGATACAATGTATTCTACAACGCTTACAAACGTCAACTTAAGACTAATACGTCTGGAATGTCGAATAACAACATTTTTTGTGTGTCGTCTGACAATTTAGACGGCATAGCATTTATTTTAAAATTTTTACAGTAACACTGCTAAATGTGTTGAATACTTCAAAGTCTGATAATTTAAATGATAAAAAACGTTTTAAGAATGTCGTGCTTGATATACTTCCAAATATTTTAATGGGGGCACCGAGACGACGCAGCACATTAATGAACACAGCATTCGATTATCATAACTGTGTAATCATACACAATATACTTGCATTAATAATATCATTTTATTGGCACCAACTTTGTATGTCTATAAGTCTAGATACATCACTTTATCTGTATCATTTATTGACTTAGTGTAGAATTATTTCACACGAGGGTTCACTTAGTATAGAGGTATGAACATATGTTCACCTGGATTTCACCCGTTAGTAATGAAACCCAATCTTATAAGAGAAGACCGTTTGAGTGTGCCGGATGCACAGATGCACAGCACTTTCTGTAAGAATTAAGACGTTTTTAAACCAGAAAGTGCCACGCTGTCAGTGCGATTAGGAATCTTTGCAACAACCCTTTGGTTGATCGGCATATAGTCTGTTGCAAGTCAAAATTTCTGATTATGCCTAACATTACGTCCCCTCTTTTGCAGCGGTAATCTCCATTTCTCCCTATTCATTGTGGTCGACACAATAAAGCTGATGAATATCTGGTACCTTTGTTCTCTTCCATAGCCATGAAATAATTGCCACAATCTATTTCCTCTCTGAACTGACAGGTTAGACGGCAGAGCATTTTTATTTAAAACTTTGTACATATATACTGTGGAGTCATAACTTGAATTACATCTAGAAATTAGCAATGAGGGTCGGTTGGAAACAAAAAATTACGACAAAGGAGATGATTTCAGCTTCCCAATTGTGAACCTGGTGCGACTGTCATACAAGTGAGAGGATTAGCTAGCTATAAAACCAGGTTCAATCCACCATTTTCTACATAAGAAAATGCCTGTACCATGTCAGGAATGTGACAGTTGTTATCCATTCGTTTGATGTGTTTGACATGTTTGAGCTTTTGATTTTGCCATTTGATTAGTGTTTTTCCTTTTTGAATTTTCCTCAGAGTTCAGTATTTTTGTGATTTTACTTTTTTCCATTTGTATGTAGCAACATTTCCGCAGCGTCTGCATACGGAGTATATATGTAGTAAAAAGTGTTTAATTGTGAAACTGTGTTTTCCATAGTGGCACTGATGAAAAATGGGAAAATCATCAAAAGTGGGTATTTTCAAGTGGCCGCAGCATTAAAAAAAGTGCAATACCATATGATTTTTTCTTCAACAATTTTTATTTTACAGTCATATAAACCCAAAACTCAGGTTAAGAAAAAAAGTTTAATTCTAGAAATTTTTGGCTTTTCAGATGTGTACATCCTTAATACTGCATTATGACTATTAACTTGTTGGTATCGTCCGTTGTGTCTGTTAGTCTGGATTGAGCACTAACTCTCGATATCAATTATTGATTTTATGAAGATCTATTGTGTAATGGTAAATGTTTATTTATATATCTTTTTGTTTTTATAGAGATTAAGATAATACCACAACGTTGACTGCTGTACCCCTTTTTTTACATTTTTACCTATGATATCTGGTTGTTTTGTTCACAAATCGTTGTCAATATAATGAAATTTTATACGACTGTCATACAAGTGAGAGGTTTAGCTAGCTATAAAACCAGGTTTTAATCCACCATTTTCTACATAAGAAAATGCCTATACCAAGTCAGGAATATGACAGTTGTTGTCCATTCGTTTGATGTCTTTGAGATTTTGATTTTGCCATTTGCATGACTTGGTTAGGGACTTTTCGTTTTGAATTTTCCTTGGAGTTAGGTATTTTTTTTATTTTACTTTTCACCCGTATACTTGGGTAGGGCGGTACTAACACGTATATTTCTCCCATTATTCGGTAAAACCCTTCATAATGCGGATCGTCAGTTGACCTGTGAGGGACGCATCAATTCAAATCCATCTTCGATCGGAATTTCGACGTATACATACATTTTTTTGACATGTAGTGTCGTTTAGTCAAATTGCAGACATATACACTGTTCTAAATCTAGTATTGTTCAGACAACTGTGAAACAAACAAAAAAATAATTTATGGTTTATTTCTCGACTATATTACCTGTATTTGAACACTCTCTATTGTGAGGGATTGGTATGACATTTATGACCTCAGCCAATATATTATTCAATTCATCTAGATAAGAAAAAAAAATCATATGTTTAGGGTGGGGGTCGCAACCATTTTAGAAATATTAACACATTCTCAAATAACAGGGAATGGGAATGACCACTGGGACTCCAATCTAGGAGAAACAAGAAAGTATACGGTTGAAGTCGAATGAACATGCTATAAGACATTTGCAATTTAAGTCTAACACATTGTAAAAATAAGTACATCTGACTGCCATGTACAAGTTCATGTGCATACAACCTCGTTGGAAGGCCTTTTTAAATCATAAATAAGACACAGTAAATCATTGAACGTGATGATATTTATTAAATATAGTCTTCGTCGTTTTTTAATGGTACTTGTATGGAGTAATCCTAGTCGTACAACCTAAAAAATAAATTTAAAAAAAAGTTTCAGTTTTATTCCATTGTATTACTTACCAGAACTAATTGTTGTCGTTTTAAATGACAGTGTACACAACTATTTTTGGAGTGTAAAAAATTCTTTGGATGTTTTAGATTAATTACATGGATTTGATGGTCCTTTATATTCTGTTGGCGGTTTTGACTTTTCAACTCTCTACAGTGCACTTCCAGACAATCTTATCAAACAAAAGTTTTCCTATTTCAATAAATAAATGATCGTTTGGTAAAACTCACTTAAAGTCTTATTCTCTCATGAGAAAGGTAAATATGCTAGATATACTTAATGGAGGTGTGATGAGATGATTAAAGCTGTTAATTTTCTCCTTAATAATATTTATGTACGTTTTGGAAACAAAGTTTATCGACAGGTTGAATGTATTCCTATGGGCACTAATTACACCCCTTTTATATCAGACTTGTTTTGTACTGTTATGAATCACAGTTTATGACCAAACTCAGTAAAGACCAGACCAAATTGCATTAAATTGATAATCTCAATTACCGTTATGTTGATGATATTTTTTCGTTAAATAATCAAGAATTTTCAAAATATTCCGCAGAAATTGACCCAAAGAAACTTACTTAAGATAAATCAAATGTAAACACGGTAATAACTGTCCTCTCTTAAAATTAGATATTCAGTTGTACACAAGAAACTCTACACTAAAATTTACAACATAAGGAACGATTTTTCGTTCCCTATTGTTAATTCCTTTTTTGGATGGTGATTTTCTTTTGGCACCATCTTACGGTGTTTATATTTTACAACTCGTTCGCTACTCCCGTGTCTGTTGAAACGTTTTTGATTTTAATAAACGTAATTTGTGTATTACTGGTAAATTATTAAGTCAGATATTTCGTAACCATGAACTACTAAAAACTTTTATTAAATTCTTCCATAGATATACAGATTTTGTTTTGAAGTTTGGTTGTACCTGTAGAAAACTTATTTCTAACGTGATATCACATCCTTTTTTTTACGAAGATGTTGTTTACCATGCCCGGAAAATTTAGTAACGATTCTGGTAAACTTATCGATCCTTTAAATAAACTTATTCTAAAAAGGTACAAATTCAGCACTGTATTTAGATCTTTGAATAATGTTTTTATTGATATTAATATTGATTGTTTTATCAGTAAATTAAAAGCAAACTTAATATTATTGTTATATACATATGCACTTAAAAGGATCAACAATCTGTCGCTTCCTGTATCTTGGAATTGCACAAGGTCATGTTTTTCTCTGACTGTTTATGGCGTCTTTACACTAAATTCATTGGATGTTGGATGTGTACTGATTGATAATTTAATCTTAGATGCATGATTTTTATATAAGTTGCTATTGGCCTTGAACTAGCTGTCAGTAACTGCGAGTACTCTCAGATCTGTACTTGGTGTCTTTTTGTTGTTGGGATGTACAAGTACCCGGCCACGTTCACTCTGTGTTTTGGTTAGTTTTATTTCTTTTTGTATCAATCTGATGAGTAAAGCCTTTTTCAACTGATTTTTATAATTCGTTCTTATGTTGTACTGTTACACCACTGTCCTAGGTTAGGGGAGCGTTTGTTACCGTGTTACATTTTTTTTTCGTTCAATTTTTTTGTGCATTAATTAGGCCGTTAGTTTTGCTCGTTTGAACTATTGTCATTTCGGGGCCCTTTAAAGCTGACTATACGGTAAGGCCTTTGCTCATTGTTGAAGGTCGTACGGTGACCTATATGTCATTTTGGTCTCTTGTGATGAGTGGTCTCATTGGCAATCATACAACATCTTCTTTTTTTATATTATGCAGTTTATATTGTTAAAATGTTACATTGCGTTATCATTAATATTCCAATTTGATTGGTTTGTCCGTTGCATTTACCACGGTGAGGTGTTCAGTGAGGCATGAAAGTTTGATAGCCATATGTCTCTAAATGCTTTGAAAACTTGCAAATTTTGGTGATACTTAGAATCGTAGAATCGTTTAAAAAAAGTTTTACAACACTAGTATGTGAATGTTGCAGTACAGGAATATATACTTTACGGCTTTCCTGGGTATCAAATTTGAAGAAAAAAAAATTGTGAAATGAAAGGATGACCACTAATAACTATCCTTTTAATTAAATCAACGATCATACTTACCATTGTATAATACTTGTTCATTATCCTTGAATTATGCTTGAAATTCTTGATGAATGCTTATTGATCTCTTTACTTATAGCCTTGCATATCTAATAATAGTTATTGTTTTGTTTATAAATTATACATTATGACTATCATTCTGTGGATATATTGTTCATACTAGTTTAACCTACAGAAATCTTGCTAACAACAATTGCATAAGGGACACTCTTACAAAATTGACTTTGGCATTTGTAATAACTTTGTATTCTTTTTTGTTGCTCTCAAGTTGAAAACTTGATTTGTTATGAATCGAGAAAAAGATGTCACAAATGTGTACTTGATGTTATAATACAATGTATATCTGTATAACCTAACTACCGATATATTTGTGTGTTACTTTATCTTTAAATACCGGAATTAAAGAGGTCTAATCTTTTATTTTGTCGATTATGACCTATTCCCGAATGTGAAAACTTAAGTAAGTGCGGTTTAGCACAGCGGGTATTGCATGCATAGTAGGAGACCATAACCCTGTAAACGCTCCCGTAGTCTTTTATTTTGGCAGTCATGAAATTTTCCAGTTTTTATTTGTGATCTTGCTTTTTTTCTACGCAATTTGTTTATGAGATTTGACCAGCGGTAAAAACAATTAGAGATACCAAGCTCATAATATTGTACGCTAGACGAAAGGTTTGTACACAGGAAACCATCAATAAGGCTCAATCAAAAAAGGCAAAAGTAAAATCAAGGACAAGATTCTGAACGGTTTTGCCGAAAGTAGATTCACTACTGTTATACTAGCTGTAGATGCTTACCCTGCTGACGTTCCCGGTATCTTCCTTTAAGAAATCTTGCCATTCGTCAGTTTAACCTTTGTTATCTTGATTTGTTTCTACTAATTGATTTATGAGATTTGAACATCAGTGAACAAAACTCTTCAAAGATACCAGTCTTATAATATTGTACGCCAGACGCAAGTTTCGTCTACAAAAAAAACCGTGAAGCCCAAAGGCAAAATCAAAAACAAAGTTGTACAGCATTGTTGAACTTAGATTCCGAAAAAAGTTTTCGCTACAAACAGCTTAACTACTGGTGACGTAAGGTATGAGCGGAAATACAAGCGGTCGAAGTTACTATCCATGTTTCTATATAATTCAAATATAAGTAAACTACAAACCTTTCCTTTTAGGTGCTGCGTTAACCATTTTTAAACATTCAGAACGTTTTTTACAAACCGTACCAAACCTGCCAGGATTTTGCCTTTTAGTTTGACTTTAAAGGAACCAATTGAATCAGAACAATTTTTCTCAACTCTAAATGTGCGCATGTCTGCAAAGAGTCTGTTAAAATCAAATTAAGATAACATACGGTAGTGTACCTTTTCAAATTATGTGTTTATCATATTGTAGCACAAATCAGTAAACTGAAAATAGAAATTATTTTATATGGTCCTGAAGAGGGATTAAAAAAATATTAGCGACATAGCAAGATACGTATTTAAAAAATCCTACTTTTTCGAGTAATCCGGATGACCATTATTCGAGAAGCACGTGACGTGTCGATGGCAATGGGAAGATCACTTTTTTTAAACTTGTGTTCGTATTATTTTTCGGTTACCAAAAAAAAAAAACGGAAACCCTAAGGTTCGCTAACAAATAGTAAACACCAAATAGTAGGTGGTATAACAATAATTATATTCTAACCGGAATGAACAAGACACACTTTATACAAAATTGTTTTAGTTTGTATGAGTGAAGTTTGTTTGTCATTAATATCATTAATCCTTAATTAATCATTATATTATTTTTTAACTTTTTTATTTATTGACTTACTCAAGGTAACCTCGGACTCCACGTTTGTAACACATGTTCTTAAAGTACCACTCTCCTGATATTTTAGAATCCAAAAACGTCTAAATACCACAATAACCAATATGTTAATGATTAATAATTCCAATAACAGCATAAACATTATACTCTTTGTTATTATGTTGTAGTTCCCTCGATTTTAGTTTGTAACCCGGATTTATTTTCTCTCAATCGATTTATGACTTTTGAACAGCGGTGTACTACTGTTGCCTTTATTTATAAGATACATCCTCTGTTTTATTATGTATTCATATATAATTTGAGGGACTAATCGGACTGAACGTATTGTATATAGATATAAGAAGATGTGGTATGAGTGCCAATGAGACAACTCTCCATCCAAGTCACAATTAGTAAAACCAAACCGTTATAGGTCAAAGTACGGTCTTCAACACGGAGCCTTGGCTCACACCGAACAGCAAGCTATAAAGGGCCCCAAAATGACTAGTGTAAAACCATTCAGAGGAAAAAAACCAACGGTCTAATCTATATAAATAACGAGAAACACTTATGAACCACATCAACAAACGACATCTACTGAACATCAGATTCCTGACTGAGGACAGGTGGAAATAAATGCATCGAGTTAAAACGTTTTAATAGGTACCAAACTTCACCCTTATTTGAAACAATAGTGTAACATCACAACATAGAAAGACACACTATAAAATATCAATTGAAATTGCTTAACTAAATCAAAAGACATATTAACATACACTGAACGAATAAATTTGATCTATGACACAACGTAAGTACAAAATCAATATGATAAGGGATAAGATATTAATCAATTTCAGAAAAAACAATCATAACTTTGAACCAAATGCCGCCAAATAGAAAAATGTACACAGGTAAATGGAAATAATTTTGTTGTAAGGTGTACAGTATAAATGGAGAACGGAAATATTTTTTAAAAAATAAATAATTTTGTTGTTTATAGTACGAGAACAACAGTGAACATTTTTAGTCATACCAAACACTTATCAAAGTTGGCACACACTAAAAATAGAGAGACGAGATTTAACATTTAATAAGTAAACATAAAATAACAAAAAAGCAATACAAATATATCAACAGGTCAAATTAACAGGAAAGTACGATTTGATAGTACTCGCAGTTACTGAAAGCTAGTTAAAAGCCAAAAACAATTAATAATACAAAAAATGCTTCAGAGACTAATATTTCTTTTTAAAACGTAACGATACATATTTTCTATTGACACGCGTGTACGAGTGTATATTAATTCGGTTTTCTGTATTGAATAATACAATAGTACGTAAAGTTCGTTTTAAACTGTATAAACTGAAATACTTTCTTTGCTTGATCTCCGTTTATCGTGTGTAAAATCTTCATGAAGTTACTATAATCTGTAAATTATTTACATCAGTGACCATTTAAACTGTTAGTTCTTTCTGCTGTCGCTTTTTTCTCGCTCTATTTGTATATTGTATATTTTTCGAACGTATAAATATTTCTTCCGTGCACATTGCACAACTTGATTACATTTTAATTTTAGTTTAACATTATCGCTGTTTCATTTCTTGAATATAATCAATATCTTAAATACAGGATAAATCAAAAAGAGTGATGTCCCTTTCTGGCTAAGGCTTAGCGAGATACCACTCCAGAAAAAAAAATGTTCATAAGGTTAAACTGCATGATGGAACCTGAGATTAAAGCATTATGTAAACAAATGTCAAAAGATCGTTTTAAACGTCTTCTAGAAGATATGCAAGGTATGCAAGAAGAGTGGTTAGACCCCGAAGTGGACATTTCAAATCAAAACAAAACAAATATGGCGTCATATTCCGAGGTAGTGTCAAATACAAACACAAACAAAAACAAAACAGTTGGGACTGATAATGTTACAGGTGAATCAAGTGATCCAAGTGACTAAATAAAACCTATATATCTGACAGATACCGATGTATTTGGTTCTGTTAAACCACCGAGATCCCTATGGCTTACGAACGTAGAAATATACAACGCCATTGATACCAAAATTCCAGCTGAACAGATAAAAGAGGGACGAAAGATACCAGAGGGACAGTCATACTCATAGATCGAAAACAATCTGACAACGCCATGGCCAAAAATAAAAAGACAAATAGACAAATAATAGTACAGATGACACAACATAGAAAACCAAAGACTTAGCAACACGAACCCCACCAAAAACTGGGGGTGATCTGAGGTGCTCCGGAAGGGTAAGCAGATCCTGTTTCACATGTGGCACCCGTCGTGTTGTTTATGTTATTACAAATCCGGTAAATAGTCTAATTCGGTAAGTCACATTCGTGAAAAGGGAGGGTATTGTAGTTACGACATAAGGAACATATCTGATATCATCTGTGAACCGGTTATTCCATAACGGTCAACCAACTCGTGATGGCGTTCGTAAAATTTACGAAGGGATGACTTCAACTTAAAAGTTATTCCGAGAATCCGTGATATGCGGTGCATTTACATGGACAACGAGGAAGACAAACTGTCTCTGTTAGTGACCAGGAATGAACTTGCGTGGCAGGCAAGTTCCCCTGCACTCTCAAAATCCCCAAAATCTAGGCAATTTACAACCAGATACCATCAGAATTACAGTGAAAAATGTGCCGAATTCTGCTGATAATGGGCAAATACATAGAACCCTTACATTACAGGGCTGTGACATATAGGCTCTCTATAGAAAACGCTTACGGATTAAAGGCAAAATCACTTACTACCAAACAAGAGAAAATAATAGTAAGTAAGCTGTTAAACAAACCCATAGCTAGAAATTTACAAAAAGGCAAATACATGGCCATAGTTATGCATAGTGGGCAACCTGAATTTGAAAACAGAAGCTCTAACAGTGATGGCAATATAAAAGCTTGCTATAAAAGTTTACAGGTTGGTCATTTCGTGTATGACTGTCCAAATGATTGGGTGTGCAGAAAATGCAAATTAGCAGGCCTCAAGACGATGGATTGTCCAAATGCATTTCAAGAAGTAGGCAATAATGAAGAACCAATAGTGACCACTGATGAATCTGTAAATGATTCTCAGTCAACTGAACAAGCTGAGAAACTGAAATCAAAGACAAATGTGGGAAATAAACCAAAAGACAGAAAACCGAAAACAACAGATGCCAATTCAAACAATGCAAATAAACCAAATCCTACAAAACCAGGAAAGGGAAAGGCTAGTGTGAATGAAACAAAGCACAATCATATATAGACAAATTTATGAGCACACCAAAAAGTCAACGCAGGAACCTGTCTCAACATCATACCCCACCTACACACCCAGAGAACTTACATGATATGACTACTGGTAATAATGGCCCCAAGAAGGTCAAAACTTAATTGTAGTCATATAGACAATGTAAAATACTTTAATGTAAATATTATAGTACAATGATCATTTATACATATAAACAAAACAACGAAAAAACAAAATGAAAAAAAGCTTTCAGCTCTATAAAATAGTTTACTTCAATGTGTTGATGTTGTTGATTGTGAAGCTGACTATTGGTCATAAATGCAACTCATGTACATGTTTTTATAAATGCAAACTCAAAACCTTCATTCTAAAGGCTTTGATAAGCTTTACCAAAAGATATATAAAGTGTGAGCTTTGTATATCAAAAAGAAGTATATTGCTATCTATTTTAAGTTTCAATTTACTATCAAAAATGTTAAATTCTGAATCATACTTGTGGAAAGTAAGAGTTTTAATAACAATTTATTTTGACATCTGGAAAAAGTTACGAATGATATTTCCTTGTTTGTTCTTTATAATTGATCTTTTTACATTGATCAAATAAAAGTACTTTTTCAATCGATCAATGTATAATATTTGGATTAGTGAAGACCAGCTATCTCATGATATGTGTGTATGCATAATGTGCATTATAACTTTAGCATTATTACCAATGATTGTGTTTACAATAGGTCGATCGCTGAACAAATTCAAGCAGCAAATATTTATTGATATATTTAGCATATTACTATTATGTTGGTTTTTACCTGTGCTATATTTAGCGCAAGTATACAAATGCTGTGTGCTATAAATAGTGAATGAACAATTGTTGACATTAGGTAAAACACTGTATACAACCATATACAACTTTTCACTGTTTAAAATGTATAAATAATTACCTTACTGTCAGCGTATTCATCCATACTATATTTGTAGTTTAGCAAAATCTATTTTTGAGTATAGTACATGTAATAAATCCACGAAATGCACTATCGGATATTCCTCTACACTTCCTACTAAATACATTTAAAATATATATTTCTTCCAAACTTTTTACTTCTTAGTAAATATAGCCAACAAAACAGCTATGGAAGCCTTGCAAAACGGTGAAGTTTACATACATTATTATCGTAAATATGTCTACATTCTCCATTTCACTTATTTAGATAAAATTATATGCACACATTATGTGAATAAGACACGTATATCAGAAACATATATCCATTCTAATACACAGTGTAAGACTGTAACGAATCACACGTGGTGGCTGTTGATTATTTCAGTGTCAATTTTATTGTCTATCGATTTTAACATAACAAGGTTAATTACTTTCATTTACCAGTGTTTAAAATAATTGCAAATGGCTGATATTTTTGTTCGAGCATATTGTTTTTCTTAAATTGTTACATTTCATACCGATATAACATGTTACTTTTATTATTCTTCCTTTAGTCTATTTATTTTGTATTTGCATTGTATCATAGGTCAAATTTATTTGTTCATTGTATGTTCATTGGTGTTAATATGTCCTTTGATTGAGGTAAGCTATTTCAGCTAATATTGTATAATGTGTCTTTCTATGTTGTGATGTTACACTATTGTTTCAGAAAAAGGGTGAAGATTTGGTATCATTAAAACGTTTAAAACGCTGCAT